TTCAAAATCCACAGACTTTTTACACAAAGCAATAGTGGTTAATTGCTGTTTTTAACTGCTGTCTCGCAGCCTGGGCCAGGCTGCCAAGAAGGGCTCACGCATATCAAACCACCGGGGGTTGGCTGATGGAGTCTAAGTCAGGACCTCACCCCATTTTTCCTCACACACACATACACACACCTCGAATGCTGTAACTACTGTTTCTTTGTAGTCCCAGCTTTCCAGCACGAAAAATAAAATTAAAAAATAAAATTAAAAAAAAAGTCGCCTGTATTCAGGCTTCCCCTGTTAAGGGGCATGACTCAAATCCCTTCTTGTGGCTTTTTGCAGCCCTACAGGGACCCCTGCACCCCCGCCAGACCTCTGGCCACCTCCACGGGACCTGTGTGCCTGCAAAATGCTTCCAGCTCAGCCTGTTCACCTGCTCAGTCCTGGGATGACACAGGGATGCAACACCCCCCAAAATCTCTGCTTTCCTCCAAGGAAGAGGCAAGGGGAGATGAAGTACCAGCACAGCACCTCAACTGGTGCTGAGTCTCCCCAAAAATTGACACATACCTGAACTCGGAGCAACCCCAGGTGCTCCCCAAGATGAAAGCATCACCCAAGCCACCACGTGTGTGGCTCTCCCTACGCTACAGGCAGCTCACAACCGGTTTTAGGAGCAGATCCACATTCTCTGCAAACCCCTTTAAGGAAAAAAATCATAATTTCTCCCCAAACCAATCTGCTCCCATCTGCAGGGATGTTGTTTCCCACCCAGGGGGTTGGGGAAAGCCATGGGAAGGATGAAACCAAAGGGCTGCCCCAGCTCCAGTCCCCCAGCCCAGCGCTGCGGGAGGGCTCGGCTGCCTTCGCCTCCTGCCTCCAGCTCAGCCCTGCAGGGAACAAAACAAAACAAAAACAACCAAACAACACAACAAAAAAACCCCAGCATATGTTTTGGGGTTGGTTTTTTTTGGTTCAACCCAGCCGTTCTGGCTGTGAAGGACATCACCCAACTGCCTTCCTAGTGCTCGCGGGCTGTGCGTGGGCGACAGGCTGTAGCGTGGGTAAAGGACCGCAGCGCAGCGCGTTAGGGCTTTCTTGAGAAGTAATTAATAATAATAATAATTATATTAAAAAAAAAATGCAAAACCCCCTTCGCTCTACCCCTCTTCCCCCAGTTTCTCTGCTAACCCCGCACCATCCACATATATACAATACAGCCCACCCGGTGGCGGATGGGTACCAATCATCTATACAAAAAGAGATCAAAACCGCTTACAGAGGAAAATTAAACTCCTGTGCGCTAGAAGCACTTTACAGCTTGCTATGACCTAAGAGGACACCGGAGAGGAGAGCAAATGCTGCAGCCTAAAGACCTGGTGGTGACCCCGGGGAGCTCGGGTCCTCTCCTCCGCTCTCCCACATCTCTCCCCCAGTTCAGCAGAGCGGTTTTTGCAGATGAACAGGCACGGGTAGAAACAGCTGAGGGTCGACCTCGCTGCAGACGGAGGAGACCGGTTTTTAAGCAAGCTTCGGAAATGGCGATGGGATGGGAAGCTGGCGTCGCCGGTGGTGTCGCTGGTGGCCTCGCGACAGCGCCAACGGAGTCACAATGGCTTCTGCGAGTTGTTCATGTTCTGCAACGAGAGGGGAAGGACCGGGGTTGGGGGTTGCGTTGGACCCCATCCCGGCAGCATCTTCTACGTGCACATCGAGAAGGGGACGGGGGAAATAACAGAAAGCCACGGCATGGGTCACTACGAAAGCATCCGCCACAGAGGAGAGGACACCGTCCACCCAAGGAGAGAGGTGAGGGGGGATGCGCTGACTTGCTACCCACACCCCTCCCCTCAAGCGTTGCCTGGCTTTAACTACAGGGCAGGGAGGAGATTTGACAGAGATATCCCCTAAAAATGAGCTAAAACCAAGGCAACCCTCCCACCCCACCTGGTCTGCACTTCTGAAGCTGCTCTTTGTCTGTGTAAGACAAGGTGACATGGGACCACAGTGTTCATTCAAGGAGCCCAATTAAACATCTCTCTCTCTCAAGGGTAGGCAGTGTCCCCTGCTCCCTACCAAGGAGATCACTGTCCATCCTTGGCACTGCTAAAGAGATGCAGCTCCTGCCAGCATTTCCAGGGAGCCAGCATGGGGACCAGTCGCCGGCAGCAGTATGGCAGGAGGACCCGCTCCCCCCATGATGCCCCATGAGGTTTCACAGGCACTGGAGCTGCTTCAGACACAGCCCTGGTGCAGGGTGGTGACAACAGACACCCACCAGTGCATGGTGAGGACCACAAAACCAGAGACAACCAGCTAAACACAAGCAAGACCAGCCCCGAGGGCGGTGGCTGGAAGAGAGCATCCGCCAGAGGAGAAACCCAAGGGGAGATGATCACAACAAGGACATTTCCCAATTCACAAAACTACACAAACGGGGTGGGGAAAAGACGACCAGGAAACAGCTAGGAAGGTTTCTCAACATTATTTTTTTTTTGCTTTTTGCTTTTACTACCTAAACTGCCTCTTACAAGCACCAGGAATCTTGGCCAGGCTATGAGGCAGAGCGGGCTGAGCTGTTCTCTCTGTTATCTAAGGAGACATGAGGAGGGTTAGGAAAAGCCACATGCACCACAGCCATTTACCTTGGAAATATTAGTAAAGAGAAAACTTTGAGAAAGTGACAAACGGGTCGTCTTTAAGCATGAAAAGTGAAGGGGAGAAGAAGGGAGGGGATCAGGTTGTTGTTAAAAAGTGCACTTTGGATCACAAACCAAGCAAAAGGAAAAGAAATCGTCACGCCAGGTAAGCCTGCAATCCCAAACCGGCTTGATCCCACAGCCAGGAGGACTCTGAGGTACACAGCCGTGTCCCCAGCCTCTCCAGGTGTCTCCTGGTCCTCCTGGATGGGGGTCAAGACCCCAATAGTGAGGCCTGATGCAACGAAGCACCCACCGCCAACCAAGTCGCATAGTGCAAGTTGGGAAGGAGGTACCTTCCACCTCCCCCTGACCCCACATGGGTTGTGGTGGAACACAGTGAAGACCGGACACATGCATGTATGTGGAAACAGCCTCCAAGAGAGGTACTGACACCAAGGCTTTGGTTCGGGGCGTTTTCTTTGCTCCCTCAAAAGCAGCCTTTAGGTCCCACACTAGTAGGTGGAGGCAGACTCCCAGCAGCTGGAGATTTTAAACTTGCTGCTGCCAGCCTATAGCTGGGATGGGAACCATCACTGCCTGCTCCAGCACAGCTCCTGGTCTAGCAAAACTTGATGAAGCCACCTCCCAAAATCAACAGCAGAGCGTGTTTTCAGTGTCCCAACCAGCACAGGAGCATGCAGCGCTTTTAATTACAACATGGATGGGAAAAAGGTGGATGGAGGGACGGACAAAACCAAAAAAGCTTTCAAAGCAACCCGAGAAGATCAGGTACTTCATCAGGGGCTTTTGTGCCCCTGAGGAGCAAGGGAAGGAGCATACACATGCAAGCCATGCTGAGCGATTCAACCTCTACATTTGCCTGGGAGCATGAGTGTATGATCTTCCTCAACCCACCCACCGGCAAAGCCAAGACCTTCCTAACTTTCTTTTTCTCAAAAACGTTCAGAAGGGGAGGAAACATGAGGTTCACCAGCTGTTATGTGCAAGCAGGGCTGAGGCCTGGCCATGTTATTGCAGATTCCTCCATTTTCAGCCCACAAAATGAACCAGGATGGGGATGGATGTAGGCCGATTCAAACTGGTCTATAGGGGGTAAAAAGACCCCTGGGAGTCTCCCCGGTCTTTGAGAAGACATTTACGCACAGCTTCCAACAACTGCTGCTTTCAACTCAATGATGTAGCATGAATCAAGTCCAAAGGCTTTAAATTTATCCACAAGCTGTCCTGTCCCTATTACACAAGGATTATAGAATCGTCTAGGTTGGAAAAGACCTTTAAGATCATCAAGTCCAACCATTAACCTAGCACTGCTATCCCAGTATCTAAGGATCTAACAGCACTAAGCCAGACTGTTGAAGCCTTGATTATTTATAATTAGTGTTTTAAATGCTCAAGGCATCTTGCTTTCTTACTGGAGCTAGAGGACAACACCACTTGCATCTACTCTGCCCAAGACACCTAGGCAGACTGTTCCCAAAATCCAGGTGTGAAGAACTGCAGATGCCAGGGACCAGGATCAGTCCAGCTCCAGAAAACACACTCCTGCTCCCATGGAGGCGATAAAACCCTGCTTGGGGCTGAGGTCAGAACATTCTCAGAGATCAGTCTGGTGCCATCACTCATAGCCACAAAGGAAATAACCGCCGGAAAACCCAACAGCATCTCCCATCCCATGCCTGTCCAAGGAGGAGGCAGGGAATTTAGACATCAACAGAGGGCAAGTGATAATCTGCTTCATTTCTCAACAAAATTGGAACATTTAATCAAGCTAGGATACTTAGGGGTTGGACAAAGCAGCACCCGTAGTCTCCTCTTTACCTTTCCTAAGATGCATCCAAATCCCCCCCCACACACAGAGAAATATTAACTCAAGTCCACACCCCGGCCAGGTTTCACAGCAACAACAAAACAACCGGTGGGATGGCAAGAGACATGGAAAGGGGGCAAAAGGGGGAATAAGACGCAAGAAGGTACTTACAGGCATGCCTTCCCTAGTAAAGGCTGCAGAGAGACAGAGAGAATGGAAAGACGTGTCAGTAACACCGCGCGAGACCAGGCAGAGGACACCGGACGGCAGCAAGGGGCACCTGAACAGCAAGAGCTTCCAAACCCAAAGCTGGCAGAGGGTTTGTTGGCAAGACTCAACCAGCCCAAGCGGAGCCCTGAAAGCAGAGAGACAGACCGAGGTGCCCCACTCGGTGCTTGCTGGGGTGGGAAGGCTCATGCCAAGTGGCCACCAAGCAGAGCAGTTGGAAGAGCACGGCACCCTTCCTCACCAGCCTGGAATCTGGCCGAGGAGGGGCAAGAGGACACCAGACAACACAGACAACGCGAAGAGGGGCTGGGTAAGACAGCAAGAGCCAACAGGCAGCTGGTGGGAAGGGCAGCATGGCGAAGCAGCTCCTATATATCTATGCTGCTTCTCCAGTACCACCCCAGCTCCTTAACAAGCGCAGGGAGGGGAGGTTTGCTCCTGGAGAAGCATGCAGCAAGGTCTTTCTACATCCCTTCATGGGTGGGTGAAAGAGGAGAGGACATACGAGCATCACGGCAGCTACCCACAGGGCTTCACCCAGGGCTGCAGAAGACAACCAGATTCACCACGCCAAGAGGATTCTACTCATTTTTGGTCTGTTTTGCCTATTGCTCCGGAAAGGAGGAGACCCCTCAAGTCAGAGATGGGTCCCGATAGCTCCTTCTCGAGGGAAGCACAAGAATATTTGCTTTATTGCAATGCCCAGGTCTACGCCAGAGCTGAGGGCACCCAGAGGGAAGGCACGAGCCCTTCAGTCCTGCCCACACTACAGATGGGGCTTCCCCAGGGGTTGGACACCACAATGCCAGATGGTGAAGTCCCTAAATTAATGCAGCTAGAGCTTTGGAAGGTTTACAACGCTCTCAAAACCCAAGAGCGGATCAACAGCCAACCCTTCACCGGGTGCTCCAGAAACCAACCCAAGGCAGGGAGAGGCAGCAGCCGTGGGAGAAGGATGCATCTCAGAGACAGCAGCACAGGTTGCGGCAAGTGCAAGCCCGTTCCCCAACTTCAGGAGCGACAGGAGGAAGACAACAAACAATAAAACAACAAGAATAACAACCAAAAAAAAAAAAAAAAAAAGAGAAAAAAAAAAAAAAAGAGAGTTCAACTAACTTGTCCCGGCAGCTGCGTGGGCACTTCCTGAGGAACACAGCCTGGCAGGGCAGAAGAAACAGCCACATGCTCCTCAAAGCTGTTGATGCGAGGTTTTTTGGTGGGCTCTGGGCTTGCTAGAGGGGTAACGCTATTACGTCTCATGAGCGGGTTAGGTCCCTTCTTTGCTTCCTAAATTAGAGTGAGACAAAGGAAAAAAAAAAAAGAGTAAATGAAAAAATAAAATAAAAAAAAGGGAAGAAGGTGACAGTTATAAAGGAAAAAAAAAAAGAAGCAGGTTGGTTTGGGTTTTGGTTTTTTGGTTTTTTCCTTAAAGCGGCCTCTGCTTTTCCCCACAATCACTGTCGACATGCAAAGGATGCATTGAAAGGCTCTGGACACCGAAAAAAAACCCCAACCCTAATGCAAAATGTTCAGGAATGCAGTGTGATTCCCAAGACGGGGTGGGGGAAAAAAAAAAAAAACCACACAAAAAAAAAAACCAACAACACACCACCCACCACAAAAAGGCCTTGCACTCAGAAAATGAGACACTTTCTCCTCACCTGAGCTCACAAAAAAGTAAATACAGATTGCTAAAAAACCGTAGCAGTAACCAAAAGCACGACAAAGAGAGGCGCCCATCGTTCTCCTCCTCAAAGCCGGTCCCTCTGACCCAGGGAGAGGTGTGAAGCAAGAAGAGGGAAGAGGAGCCAGCCCGGGCTGATAAAGAAGATTTGGGAAGTGGGGACAGAGCAGCCAGCGAGGGTCGGCACCGTGCCAAGCTCCAACTCAAGCGAGGTGGGATGGAGGGGCAGCGCCCGTGCAGCCGAGCAGAGGGACCCAAGCGCTTTGTACGTGTCTTGCTCTACCCCACCCGCAGCTCACAGCTCTCCTGCCATCCCCAGTGGTGGAGGAGGAGGGCATTGATGCCCCCCTACAAAAAAAAAAAAAACACAGGGGGAAGGACCGGCTTCCCCACCTACAGCTGCGGGGAGGGAGAGGCAGTTCAGATGCTGTCGCCTGCTGAGGTTGGGAAGCAAAGGAAGGGAGATGTGGGCCAAAAGGGGATGGCTCTGACCATCCAACATCCAGCGGACTCCATTGCTGCTATACACAAGTTGGAAAAGTCCCATCAGCTGGGACATAGGCACTGCCAGGGTCCCTGGGGTCCCCCTTGGGTCGCTGCCCAGCCCCAACACTGAGCTGGTGTCCCCCTGCTCTGGTCTCTGAGCACCCAGGGGAGCATGGGGCAGATAGATCTGACCTTACGGGGGTTTTCCTTCATGCGAGGGGTCTCCTCCCCGCAGCATCCCCAGCCCAGTGCTGCCACCTCCCACCCTACAGAACGGCACTCTGGTAGTCATGCGGAGCTGTGGGCACACCAGTTAAAAAAAACAAAAACAAAAACACAAAGGCAGATGTTGGGCAAGGCATTGAGCCCGGGCTCTGCCAGCCAGTTGGGAGACCTGGGAGAAGTAACCTTCTCCATTCCTGGCTCCATACCCCGCTCGGGTGAGCGGATGACCACACAGGTGAAATTTAAAGACCAGGGAGGAGCTTTCCCTGGGCCAGCTTTGATCTGGGCAAAGACAGTGGGAAGCAGGCACATGCAACAGTCCTTTTCCCTTGGAAAACCCTTGACCGGCCACATATTTGCAGAGCAAGAACCCATCTGATGCTCCAGTCCTCCAGCAGCACTCTGAGCATCTAGGTGAGCAAACCCCCCATGCTCAACCCAGGCATCCTCACTGCCAGCTGACCATAGGGGAAAGGAGGGGGACACCAAGGGATGGCTCAGGAAAAGCAACACTCACCTCTGGCCGTTCCCTGTGGGTGTTGACAGCTTCAATGTTCAATGAGATGGACTCCACCCGGCAGCCTGCAGAAGGGAGCACAAGGAGACAAGAGAGGCCATCAGCAAACCCAACAGGCACAGGATGCTACAAAGTGCTCCACCCCAGAGCCCCACTCTCCTCCCCAGATTCAGAAGGAGGTACGAGTCAAACTTCTTGGCATGTTTAGCAGAAAGGCCCCACTCACCATAGGCCACCGGGGTCAGCTTCAACACTGTGTGAAGGGGACATTTCAGGTAGGGCATTTCATCTGCAGAGAAAGCAAAGCAGGAGAGTTACCCCATCCCCTCTCCAAAAGCAGGCTTAGACATGCATCTTCAGCAACAGGTAAGGCCTGGAGCGTGCATCACCAAAGAGATGCACGCTCCAGGCCCTGCATGGACCTGAACACATCTCATCTCCTCAGAGCTCATCTATCATCCCTCCTCCAGCAGGATCAATCCTCTCCCCGGGGATGGGGAGCTCACCTGCACTCTTGTCCAGAAAGTATGCCAGGAGGCAGCGCATGACAGCCTGGTGACAGATCACAAGGACGTTCTCTTGTCTCTCCAGCTCCATGATGACCGGCTCTAGGCGCTGCACCAGATCTTGGTAGGACTGAGACAGAAGAAGGGAAGGGAGATAAGGCATAGAATCAAGAAAACAAGCACTTCACAAGAAACAATGGTCCTTGTCTTGGTACCTCTAGCAATTTCACGCCTCTGACTAAACCAACATAATTACCGCTAAAAACAAAGTTCCACAAATCCTCATCTTCAGGCTGCCCTAGAACATAGCTAGGATCAGAGGAGAAGCAAGCCATTCACATCTCAGTTACAGTCCTGGAGAGTTTATCAAGGTAAGCACAGGGGCTGAGCACAGTGTCTCTCTATCATCTTGAAATTTGATTCCTAAGTTCTGAAAAGTCTGGAGCAACCTGAATATCTCCAGGGTTTTGAAGGACTTCATAAAGAACCATGACAGGCAGCCAGAAGGAACCCCAGACACCCAGAGACACGTCAGACATTGCCAAACATTCTCCTTTTAGAAACGCTCTCATGAGGAGGCCTCCGAAGATTTTTCCCAAATGTCTATGGATGCGACTTTAGGGATAAAAAAGACCAATTCACAACTTAAAGTATCATCCAGAACTGATGTCAATTCCCACCTCATTGTGACATACCCTGAAAGCAGATTGCCAGGAACGGAGATATCAACATCAACCCTTAGGGAATGATACTGAGAGATGGAGCAGAAATTACTTTTTTGGAAATGAAAGAAAAGGAAATTGGGGTGGCACAACACTTTGTGTGGATGTAATGGAAGAGGTTGGACTAGAAACCTCCAGAGTCCCCTTCCTACTAATTTGCTATAAGGTCAGTGGGATTGTTACGTTAATTGATACATTCCTTAATGAGATCTTCCCATATCACGATTTCATGAGAGCTCAATGCAAAAGGTAAATACAAGCCCTGACCCTTCTGGATTCTCGTTTCTTGGAGCGGAGGACAGCATGAAGACAAGAAGGCATGTCTAAAGTTAAAGTCACATCTCTGAAGGTCTCCTTGCAGGCCTACCTCCCCAGAAGGATAGCGATAGTAATATTTATCCTGATCACGTAAAGCAAACTCCTCTGGATGCTGCTCCCTGATTTCTTCATACGTCATTTCTTCATACACACCCTGCCAGAACAGGACATCCATGAGGTTACTGGACATGCTCAAGCCAAAAAAAAGCATCAGTACACCCAACATGCAAAACCTTCTCCAAAGCAACTGTCCATAACCCTCCAAGTGGTCAGCTAAAGAGCAGTTCCAAGCAAAAATCATTTTAATCTGCTCATTCAAGCCAACATCATGAAGCACCTCCACAAATCAGAACTAAGTTCAGAAGCCAAGTTGTGAGTACTGCAGAAGTACCAACCTTTCCCACAGAAGGAAAATCTCCCCGCAAAAGGTGAGGTTTAGGCAAAAGTGAAAAGGCTGGTGCTATAGTCCCCTCTGCCAAGCAGCAACCAGCATGATCCAGCTGATCCCACTGCAATCAAAGTTACTTACAGCATCGATTTCATTGAGGGCCTTCCACTGCTCATAGGGCAGTTGGAGAGCTTCTGCTGTTTGGATTGTCCTCTTTAGTTGGCTGGTCCAGACTTTGAGGTCCTTCAGGTTCTGCTCCTCAACAAACTTGTTCAGTGCCAGTGCAAACTGTGGGACATAAAAAAAAAGTTTGATCCACAACTTCCCAATGGGTCTTCTGCCCTGTTTCCCAGTAAATGTTGCCTTCTCCAGGACTGCTTTTGCCTTCCATAGGCAGACGCATGGATCCCCAAAAGCTATGAGGGGCATGAGAACAGAGAGAAAGCGACAACCTAATGTCATCAAGGAACAACATCAACAACCAAGAAAAAGAACCACAACCTGGGTTCTCCTACAATGCTATAGAAGATCCCTGGCCACCCTTCACCACAGCTCTGCTTATCTGTCATAGAGCTAAATCGATGTATCCTGTAGTCTTTGATAATAGCCACACCTCAGATGACTGCATTTGGACTTCAAAATGGTCTGGCAAGCCAAAATAGCTATTAACCCTCCCTGAAGCAGAGTGCTGGGCCATGTCTTTGAAGAATGAAGTAGCGAGCAGTCTGAAAGCACCCTTGGAGTTGGCTATCCCTACCGAAGGGTGGCAGCAGTCCTTCTACATCCCGCTCTGCCTGTGCAAGGTCTGAACCAGCTCCATGAAGATACACATACTCTTCTCTCCCAGAGATTTCTGCAGCCCAGCCTCTGTTAACCCCCAACTACATGCAAGCCTACATGCAATGCTGACAGATGGAAAGTCTTGGTTTGAGGCCATGCCCGAGCCCAAATTTAACCTGTCCTGTAGACAGATCTTCCAAGCACCCCAGCTGCTATCAAATATACACTTAACCTAATGCACAGCATCTGCTACAGCCAAATCACTCATAGGAGCCATATGGGAATATTCCCTTCCCACTCACCTTCTTGCCCCTGTTGGAGAGGCCTGAATCACCTCCAATCTTCCCCTTGAGGTTGAACTCGCTCTCGCCGTGCCGACAGAGATAAATGGTGCGGGGCTGGACATGGATGTTCATCAGGTAGTAAACGATCCTACTCTGGATGTGATCCTGAACCCTGTTGACCAGGAACCGCCGGCCAACATCAATGACTTTGATGAGAGAAAGCTCCCTAGGAAAAGCACAGTAAGGGTGAGGGGGTTGCCAGTGGGGAAAGCAGAAAGAAACACCATCCCTGAAAGACAGCCTTGTCAGGTATCTCAGTCAACATAATCACCCAGCTAACGGGATTTCCTGCAGGCTATTTTCAACAGGAAGCCAACAGGTAACAGCGATTCATGGAGAGCTAAGTAGCACCAGTGTAATCGCCATTGCTCCTTGCAGCAGTAAAGAGGATTAAACAAGACTAGCAGGGAGCACATCCTGCCCCAGGATAGGGCTCAGCACGACCGGGATTATCTGTGCAGGGCACATGGACGTATCTGTGAGCAGTGGAAAGGCTTGGAGGTGCCTGCATGGTCATGCAGGACAGCAAAGGTCTTCCCAGGGCACACAACCAGGCAGAAACCACAGAGCCTGCTCAGCCTTGTGGTTTGAGCCTGTTCAAGCAGTCCCTTCCTTTAACTGACAAAAGCATCTCAGAAACACTCAAACCAAACTGCATTTTTCCAAAACCTTTGTATATTTAGACCTGCAAAACCAGCGTATCTGAGCTCAGAAGAGCCTGGGAAGGTTTCAGTGCCTGGCTTCCTGGCAGAGGGCTGGGGAAAACCAGCATTTCCAAGGAAGAAGCCAAATTTGCAACGAGGCTTGGCCATACATTATTCTAGCACAGTCACGTATTTGGAGACTAAGTGAAATACAGCTCCATACTTCGTTACTCCACTCCTGGGAGAAGAAAGGCCTTCGAGCCAGTTCAGAAGTCAAAGTCTCTTACCGGTCATAGTCATCAGGGTCGAGCGGCTGGTAGCTGGCCCGGTAACAATTGATCCTCTTCATGAAGTCCTCCATGGCATCGGTTGAATTACAGTCCCGGTAATCAGGGCTGGACAGTTTTACTTCCTGCGGCAGGGGGAAAAAAAAAAAAAAAAAAAAAAAAAAAAATGAAACAACAAAAAAAAACCCCACATCAGATGCCGCAAAGAGAGGTTAGGAAGCTTTCCAAGCCAGACCATGCTAATCTCAAATTTCAAAGTCCTGCCAAAATCCAGCTATTGGCTGAGCCACTTTACAGCCATCACTTACGAGAGGACAGAAAAGAAGCAAACTAGACCCAAAACTAAGCACAAGGTGAGAAAATCTGGTATAAACCATTATATGACCGGTATAGATGCACATCAGTCTGCTCCTGTTATCCCAAGAGCTGAGGTAGCAGCACCTCACCACCCAAGGCCGTGGGAAAACTGAGCTTTTTTTTTTTATGGCTAAAGAAAAGCATCAGGTTCAAGCAGGTCAAGCCGAGGATGGAAGATGCATAACCTTAGGCAAGATGCTTGTCCTGGGCCTTCTGAGTGAATAAAGATCCTCGGAGGTAGAGGTCTGTCCCTCTGGCTGTCCACCATCTGAGATGGCAGGGTAACAACATTCTACCCCTTTCTGTGCATTATTTGCTACAAGCTGCTGGGCTGAAAGATGCGGAAAATGGGCCATGTGAATATCCAGCACTCTCATGGACCAAGTTCTGCCTGAATTACTCCAACAGGCTATTTTTCCAGAAGATTTGGGTTTGAGCAGCAGCATTATATATTGGGTAACTCCACAAGCAATCCCGAAACCAATGGGATAACAACCACGTGGCCCACGCGGCACTGCCCCAGGCCCACAGCCTATTTTCTGCACTGATCCCAGCACTAAGAGCACCATTCATCTGCAGCACCCCGTGGAGCAAAAACCTATTCTTAGCTAATAGTTAATTTTCTCCCCCTTCAAGCATTAATTTCCAAAGAAAGGGATTAAATTCTCCAAAAAAATCCAGCTTCAGGGTGTTGCAAAGAGAAAAAAAAAAGAAAAAGATGGAGCAAACTGAGAATTTTATTAGCATCATGGAAATGGTTGTGTGCAACCTCCCAAAAAGCAGCTCACTGGCCACGGGACACCAGCTCCCAGCAGGAGCAAGAGCCATGCTCTAGCCCCCAACACAGCACCCTTAGCGGAGCCCATCCCAGGGGCAGAACAAGACCCTACAAAACCCTTCTCACAGACGTTAGGTATCCTGCAAGGCATTCCCAGAAACCATAAAATGGCTCGCAAAGTTCAGATGCACAACTGGAGCAGAGTCCAGTGGAGGAAAGGACACTTTCATTCAAGTTAATCATGCCTAGGTAGACCAATTAACATCTCCCTGCCCTAGCCAAGCCTAACGGGCAAAGGAGCTCTTCTGCTGGTGGGAAAACAAAGATCCAGAGGCTCCCAAAGGAGTTGAAAAGCAGTTTTATGCTGCTCTCCCAGCCAAGACTTCAGCTAGTGACAAGAAACCTCTAAGCTGAGCTGCTCTTCTTCTCAAAGCAGACTCCAGTAGACTTTGGGAAGCTGCATGTGGCTGAAGACACCAAGCCTGACTGCTCTCCAATGGGATTTAAACCCCTAACTGCATCCATTGCTTCCAAAAAGTTGGACTTTGGGGGGGGTCACCAAAGGATCCTGAATGCTTTCTGTCCTTACTATTAAGTTACAGATCAACAGATATGCAGAGAGCATAGAAGGGAGCCGGGGAAAGGCTACAACAACTTTTATTTTCATTACTTCCAGGTGGCCCTGGGTCATAAAAGCTCCTTTCTCATCCCAGGACAAATACATCATAAAAAGATAAAAACCTCCTAATCCTCTGCTAACTCTGGCAAGATGTTCTGATAAAAAACCAGCCGAGCACAGGTGGAAAATCCTACATGAGGGAAAACAAGAGCAAGACACTTCCACACTTACCCTAACGTTGGTGGCAACTACCGTGGGATCATCACAGACCGATTCAATGAAGAACACCTGCGAAGCAAAACAAAGCTCACCTGAAGGCCAGCAATAAGGTTTGTAGCATTCAACCAGCTCCTTGCTCAACCCAACCTCCTCCCTCCTTGACCTGAGAGTTCTCCCTCTGCCCCATTCCTAACCCTTTCCTTCTTCAGGGCTTGGGAATGAGAGAAGTTTCACATTTCTAATCAAACCCAACTGTGAAGTCTCCCTTACACAGGAGCATCATGAGAACAACACATTAGTGAAAGAAGATACACCACCGATACACCATGCGATACAAGCAGCAGCCTGGTGGTACCAACCTTGAACCCATTTTCTTTGGCAAAGTTTAGGATCATCCCTCTCCTCTCCCGCGTGGTATTGGTAGCATCAAAAACCTTCAAAAGCAAAGATTTTGGTCAGCACCAAGAGCATCTGGTTTCCCATTAAACCATTTCTCAGAGAAGGAACTGCAGAGCAAACTGCACAGGGCACAGCACCTTCAGGACCAGGACTGCTACCAAACCCTGTGGAGCACATCTTTGAGCTTACCGCAATCTGGCCAGCTTCCTCCGTCAGGTACAGCTTGACATCCCTCAAGGCAGCCAGGGCACACTGCCTGCAAAAGAGGTGAGAGATGCATGGTCCTGATTTCCTCAGAGATGCTTACAGCAGCTGGTGCACAGACCCCCCCAAAGGAGGGCAGGCTTTGCAGCTCCTCCTTGCCACCTCCCCACTTCTCCCAGGCACATTTAGGAAAGACACCCTCAGTTTGCTAAAAATACAAGAGCTACATGTGCCGGTCTTCATGGCAATGGTAGATGAAGAAGCAAATGCCAAACCTCCTGGCAGACCTCATACCCTACATGGCTGAGCCAGAAAGCAATGCGCTGGTGACCCTGAAGGTACCAAGCCCTGGCAACTTCAGTTTTCAGCTCTTGGCACCCAAGTCAGGCCCTCCTTATACAGGCAGGGAAACCTGGGCTAGAGCCCAGCTTTTCTGTCCACCACCCCCCAAAACAAGCTGGGCAACCCCACTGCCAGCCGTGGGCTTCACCACCCATTTGGGACCTGGGTATGATGAGCACAGATGCAGCACCCACACTTACCTCCTGACTTTCATGGCCTCCTCATTGTCAGGGCGGAAGAAGTCATAGGAGCTATAACGCTTCACCGCCTCGCGGCGATACTCGCCCACGTTGAAAACTGTGTGGGAAAGGAAAAGACCATCAAAGCCAGGACCGAGCGTCAGCACAGCTTGACTCAGCTGTGCAGCTCCTGCAGATAACGCTTTCTAGCAACGGGCCAAGAAGAGATATCCCTAGAGCCGAAGACTCAGGGACATCCCTTGGTCTTCAAAGTGAAGGAGAACCTGGGCTGCAGCAGAAGCGATGGGAGGACATGGATATTTGGCCCATGGGATCTTGGAAAGATCCCCCATCACCTGCTCCCCAAGGGACAAAGCTCCTTGAGCATCTCCCAAGGACCCAGACCTCCTGCTTTCCCCAGGTAGCCATTGAAAGCCTCACCTTTCGTTGGGACACCGATCCAGTTGAGGTAGCGTGTCAGCTTCTTGGAGATGTAGGTCTTCCCACGGGCAGGGAGGCCAACCATCACTATCACAGTGGAAGAATTGGCAAGCTGCGGCCCACAGGCTACAAGGAGGAGGAGAAAGCACAACATGAGCAGCTGTTAATTCTCCAGCTCATTTTGTATCAACCCTGCAAGGCATTTGCTCTTGACCCAACCTTCCCCCAAGTCCTTCAACAGCTAGAGGAAACCCAAAGCCTCGTCTCCCCATGCACCATCATCTCTGCAGTATCTCCTGCCCATCCCTTTCATGTGCCTGGACAACCAAGACCTTAAGCAGGTGAACCCACTGACTCATTTTTGCAATGGGATTTGCTGGAGGAGCATATGTCAGAGCAGAGGGGGGCATGGTGGACAGCTCCATGGCTGCTCATGGGTGAGTCATGACTGCCCCAGCTAAGTCATGCTGACCCAAATTCACCCTGGTGGCACCCAAACTGGGGGACAACCTGACAGCCACAGCAAGAGGAGAACATCCTGATGGCTGCAAAATGGGCAAGGAGCCAGCAGCTGCCTCAGGCTGCCTGCAGGACCTCTGTGCCTCAGTTTCCCCGCTTAAGAAAGAAAAAAAAAAAAAAAAATAAAAAATCAAGGCAAGCACAACCTCTCATTCCCAGTTGGGCTGATTCTGTGAAAAACTAGGGGATGGCCAAGGGCTTTGGTCCAGTCCTCACAGCAGCGCACTTCAGATACGGCTGCTCTACTGAAATACCACGACAGCTCTGAGATCTTTACCCACAGAGAGCACCTTCCAAAAACTCCTGCTAGCTTTTTAGCTTGTACACATGCAAAAATGCAACCAACTAACTGGTTTTTTTTTTTTTCCTGAAGACCAGCAGGACTGCAGAACCACCGGCATTTAACAGTAGATATATCGAGTGATTTATCCCTTTGTCCTCATAAACCTGTTTTAAGCTGGGGTTTGTATTGTTGTAAAGAGGGTCCACGTCAAACAGCTGGAAATAAATCCAGAGGCATTATTTAGCAATGACTTGGCAAATGAAGAGAAACTCTTCTCCCATCCACACGCATGGCATGGCCAAAACCCAGACCCATCAACTGCCCAGGTGAATCGCTTCTCCACCCATAAATCCTTTAGAAAGTAAATTCCTGGTTCAGTTTGGAGGAAATTGCCGAGGTTGCACGACTGGGAACGCAGTTTGGGAATATTTTTTAGTCCTCCACAGCCTGGTCCCAGAGCCACAAGATGCATCTGGATTATCTGGACCGCACATCCCGTGGACCACATTAGCAGAGCAGCATCCCTCTCCCACATCTCGCCCCTGCTCCTCTCCAGGGTTTGTCCTACAGAATGGCTTCTCACATGGTGCTGCACACACAAAAGGCCAAGGCACAAAGCCAAGCGCTTTAAATACAGGAAAGGAAGATCTTAACGATGCCTAATGGAATTTGGATTAGCCGGTCGCCTATTCATGCCACCAGGCGTGACACACCAAGAGCCCTGAGGGAAAAGGCAGAGACCAGCCGAGATAGGCGAGACCCTCGGGGGGATTTCTCACCCACCCTTCCATCCGCCCGGTGAGGCCAGAGAGACCTCACGGGAAAGGAATGCAGGGAGTGAGTGGCTGGTGGCAGAGCCATAAAAACGCAGCTTAATTACGGTCTGGGTGGAGAGCCCTGCCTGCCCATCCCAGCTGCCCGCAGGTGGGACCAGGCAGTGGGGATGGGGTGGTGGGGATGGGGTCGATTTTTCTCAGCGGAGATCTGGGAAGGGCAAACAGAGAGGTATCCAGAGAGCATGCAGACATACGGGATTTCCCTCCCCTTCTAATAAAAAAAAATAAATAAATAACCCAACAGCTAAAGAAACTGAATAAAGGCCACAAGGAAGAGGTGCAGCGCTGGTGCCCAGAAGGGTGGGGAAGAGCCACCCATCGCCTGCCTGGCTGCCTCACCAAAGCAGACCCGGCAGGCAAGAGATGAGAAAACTATCTAAAGAGAGGTTCTTTCTTTTTTTCCTAAATATTCCACATTCCTCAGGCTGGAGCTGCCCTCACACACTTGCTCCCTTTGTGTGACCTGCATCCCCGGCGCCGCGTTTCAAAAGCCCAGGCCAGCTCCCACTGATTTCAGCAGCAAGCGCCCATTTTTCCTGCTGGGATACCAAGGCAGCTGTGTGAGGAATCCAGAAAAATCTTTTATTTTTCTTTTTCCCCCCTCCCTCTCTGACAGTCTCACATCCTCAACCAACCCATGGGTGCAAGGCTTTTTTTTTTTTTTTTTTTTTTTTTTTGCACAAACCCCAACCACATATTAAATAAAGGGAGGGAGGAAGGAACAATACCTGAATAGAAAAACTCCTCCCTTCCCTACCTGCCAGCGGACAAAGGATCTCAAAGAGCGGAGCCAAGAGATTTAGGGTCATTAAAGTAACAGCACTCAGAGAGGATGGGGACAACACCAGGTACTGTTCATGTCCCTTTGGCCCCCGACAGCCGAGACCGTCCCAGAGCTGGCGCTGCCTGGGCACACACACGCCACCGCCAAAGGGTGCTGCAGGAGTTAAAACACCAGGATTTGAGGAATCTCTCCCCAATTCTGTTTGCTGCCAAAGGAAAGCTGCAGCTTCCCCTTGGACCGCAAAAAAGCATCTGTTGACAGACCTGGGAAGCACTTCCCAAAACACCAGGGCATCAAGATTGCACTTTTCCATCAGGAACCTGAGCCCAAAGCCAGCTTAATCACAAAAGCCTCTGGGAAACTTTGCATCAGGGCTGTAACAGAAACCGGTGTTTTGCTCCCAGTGCTCCACAAAGACCTAATTCATCATTTCTTTTCACCACCGGAGGAAAGCTCTGAGGGATTTCAGTGCATATTCATTACTCCTTATCGACATCTACCCAGGTAAGTCAAGGTCAGGGATGACCCGTGAAAGGTGAAAGGCTCAGTCGGGATATTTAGAAGCAGCGCCTCACTCGTGCCTTCTATCTGCTAGAAAGTCAGCGCCGATGCGCTCTTGTGTTTCACGGAGTGGAAGGAAGAAGGAGGGGGGAAAAAAAAAACAAACCCAAAGATAATAAAAAGGAAGAAAATTTGCTTCTATAAAAGGTTAGATAAAATCCCCACCTCAGGCATTTTTACTCTCTCCTCCCAAGAAGCCTTCCCACGCCTCCCACGAGCCCACGCCACACGTTCTACGCGACTCTTGCATTCCCCTTCGCCAGCTTCTTTCCCGCTGCAATTCCCCAACCCGCTCACGGGCGCACCGGGAACGCGCTTCTGCGCCCCGCGTCGCGGGGAACCGGCGATCCCCCCACCGCCGCCCCAGCTGCGGTGCTGCGGGCAGATCGCCGCCGTGTTTTCACGTGCCCTGGTCCACCCGGCCGGAGGGATGGGAGAGAGAAAGGCGGTGGCAGCCCCTTTTCTCCTGGAGCATCCCCCAACCCGAGCCCCCCTCGCCTGGCTCTGCCCATCCAGCCGCCTGCGACGACTTGACTTTCCCAGCCCCTACGTGAGAGACGTGCAGCTTGACAGCAATTTAATGGATCGCCGTCGGAAGGCCAGATGAAGGCATCACTTCGCATCCATTCCAGCCTCCCCGTTGATGAGGGCCGACAACCCCGGGCTAATTATTTCCCACACGCAAGGAGCAGGTTTTTTGGTTTTTTTTTTTTTTGGAGGATGCTCCCAGGGATGCTCCCGCTCCCTCCTCCCGCCCCAGGGACCGCATCAGCCTCCCGTCTCCGTTATCCCTCCATTCCCACCCGGCTTTGTGGCTCTGCTCTTTGTTGCTGCCAGGGAATGAATAGCGTCTCTCGAGTTTAAAATAAGCCACCTCGAATTTAAGAAAAAAAACCCCACAACCCCCCCAAAAGCCCAATAATGCTGTTCCCATAGAGCGCAGCGAGCGGTGCCCAGCACGGCTTGTTCCCACCCCAAGAGAAAAATAATTAGAAGCCACATTACGGTATTAACAAGCCCCTCGGTGACTTAATATATTCAAATATGTTAATTTTCTGCTCTGCCAAAGAGGGAATTCTCTCCTCTGCGAAACCAGGTGAATAAAGCAGCAAAAAAACCACAGGGAGGCTCCGCGTGACACGAGGGATTTCTTTCAAAGGTGTCAGCCCTTGAGAAAACCCAAACCAGATACATCTGCAAAGCATTACGCCAGGGGACATTTTACCCCGCTAAAAGCCAAGCCCCGTGGCAACCCAGATGTGCAGCCGGTTGCCGAAAGCCATTTCCCTCTGCGGCTTCTGCTGCAGAGCTGCCCTCGCCAAGCCTAGGCTGTGTGAGCCACCATCTGCTGTGGGGCTCAGCCCCCCCTCGCACGCCCAACCCATGGCCACGGGGCAACGCTGCGGGGCAAAGGCGCAGGATTTTATTATTATGGGGTTTTTTTTAAAGGGGGGAACTTGCCAGCCAAGGGAAAGAAGTGTCTGAAGCGACTTTAACATCGCCTGCTCAAGAAAAGCACGGCCAGGACTCATCCTGCCAAGTGCCCAAGCCACTTCCATCCTCTGCCAGGCTGCAAAGTGCCACCTCCGCCGTCCCGGCTCTCCGCAGCCCCGGATCTGCGGATTCCTGCGACGCTTATTTCGAGTTCCGTGGATTTGCACAAGTGGCTGCTTGGCAGTTTAGCTGTCAGGCGAGTTAAAAGAAGCTGCCTCTTGAGCTTTTTCAGATTTTATCATGACTCATGATTTGGTTGATAGTAACACTGGGATGACCCAAGCCTTTGCTCTTTTATTTTTTTTTTTTTTTTTTTTTTTTGAAGAGCAGAGGTTGGTTTTAAACCCTCAAGGTGCTTGCTGAGCTTTGAGAAGAAGGGAAACCACTGCAGAAGTTACAGCATCAATTTTTGCCCTCTCCTCCACCTGCCTATCTCATCCCAAAGTAGAGCACAGGGTAAATGGCCAACAGCTGATGGGTTTGGGTTTTTTTTTTTTTTCCCCCAAACCCATCGCCCTAATCCTGCCTCCCCCCAAAAAAATAAATATTAATAAATCCCTAATAAATCTCAGAGCAGGGTGCCAGACACCCTGGAAATCCCAGCGGAGCTGGTACCCGGGTGTCGAGGGTAGCAACCGGCTCC